GGTGTAAGGAAAAGCTGCATCAAATCCTGTATTCTCATTTGGAAACAGCAGCAATAACAAGGAAACCGAGCTACTCACCCCAAAGATGTGCTTTCCGCAGTGGTCACCTATAGACAGACATGACTCGCCCTCACTCTGAATTCACCTTCTCCAAACGCCTCCTTCCCGCACTGCAGAAAAAGAGCCAAATCAATTGCCAGTGTCCCGAGGTTGCACTCCTCGATGGCCTTCTCTAAGCCATGTGCACCAAATCCAAAGATGCGGTGGATGAGACAGTATGACAACAGGAAGAGCTCAGGAGCACAATGCCAGAGCACTAAATCACGTCCCTGGCCTGAGGAACTGGAGCCGAACGATCCCTTGAGCGGCTGGATTCCAGACTGGAGGAAGCTGGTGTCCAACTCTGGGAGGGCCACAACGTAAAAACATAAGAGAGGCCAATGTTGGATCAGGCCAGTGGCCCATCCAGTCCAACACTCTGTGTCACATAGTGGCCAAAAACACCAGGTGCCCTCAGGAGGTCTAGCAGTGGGGCCAGGACACTAGAAGCCCCCCCACTGTTGCCCCCCCCAAGCACCAAGAAGACAGAGCCCCCCTTGCCCCAGCCTGAGAGTTCCTATAAGAACATAAGCGAAGCCAGTGTTGGATCAGGCCAGTGGCCCATCCAGTCCAACACTCTGTGTCACATAGTGGCCAAAAACACCAGGTGCCCTCAGGAGGTCTAGCAGTGGGGCCAGGACACTAGAAGCCCCCCCACTGTTGCCCCCCCCAAGCACCAAGAATACAGAGCATCACTTGCCCCAGACTGAGAGCCCCTATCTATACCTTGTGGCTCATAGCCACTGATGGACCTCTGCTCCAGATGCTTATCTAATCCCCTCTTGAAGCTGCCCTTGCTTGTAGCCTCCGCCACCTCCTGTGGCAGTGAATTCCATGCATTCATCACTCTTGCATTATGCAAGGGCAACATGGTTGGCCCACCAATGAGAGATAGGTAAGATAATGGGTTACTAGCTGTTTACAGCTGGTCAGCCCATTAGGCAAGTTAACCTACAGTCATGAAACGGCCACCAAATCCCCATACAGCATCAGTCCAAACCAGGGGTCATTTCCTGCAGGAGCGCACAGGAGCAGAGCTCCGGTAGTAAAGAGCCCAGGAGGCGGGCACATGCAACAAGCCCCACCCCCTGCTCCCAGCAGCCCTCAGTCAGAGCAAGAAGCAGCCAGGTAAGCTGCAGAGCCCCCCCCCCGGTCCACATCAGTCCATTGGTACCTTTAAGACAAAGTTTTATTCCGGTACAAGCTCTCCCTCCTCTGTGAGGGCAGATCTGCATGTTTCCCACCCACCCCCATAGCTAGCGATCCAAAACAGTCCAGTGGACCCTGAGCGGTGGGTGTTGCCTTCTGACACACTTCCGGTTATGTCAGGGAGTGTGGCATATGCAAATAAGTTACGCTATTGAGTTATGCTAATGAGCTCCTGCACCTATTTTTCTACAAAATGACCCCTGGTCCAAACCATATCACAAAGAACACATACAGAGAGAGAGACACAGCAGCATGCATTCGCCCTTCAGAATACTGCTTCACTTCGCACACTGAATACCACTATTAAGCACAGGACCTTAGAGACAATGTGGTGGAATGTCACACTAGGATCTGTGAGACCCAGGTTTGAAATCCCACTCCTGCCCTGGAAGCTGAGTGACCTCAGGCCAGTCACACACTCTCAGCCTAACCTTCCTCACAGGGTAGTTGGGAAGAAGCAGTGGCGGGGGGGGGGCACAGAGAAGAAGAAGAGATTGGATTTATACCCCACCCTTCACTACCCAAGGGAGTCTCAGAGCGGCTCACAAACTCCTTTCCCTCCCCCTCCCCACAACAGACACCCTGTGAGGCAGGTGGGGCTGAGAGAGCTCTGACAGAAACTGCTCTTTTTCAAGAACAGCTCTGAGAGAACTACGGCTTGCCCAAGGTCATCCAGCCAGGTGCAAGTGGAGGATCAAACCCGGCTCTCCCAGATTAGAGTCTGCGCACTTAACCACGACACCAAACAGGCCACTCTGAGTTCCCTGCAAGAAGCATGAGACAAGTGTGACGGCCAGCTGATGCTTCTCCAGCTCAGTTATGAGGGCAAAACTGCAGCCCACAAAGACTCAAATTTCTACTAAGGCCCTCAAGGAGGGTACCATCAGCCTCCATGTCCCTGGCTATTATCCCTCATGGCCTGTATGCCAGGGAACCGGCTACTTCTGCATTCTCAAGCACGGGGGACTGCAGACTCCAGAACCACTCTTTGGGACACACCCCCAGCTTTCTCAGTCTCATGGCTCCGTGCATGGAATAATACCAGCAGTAGATTCCGGGGGTGTTAACGACGACAGCCCAGTCAAGAATAAAAATAAAGTGTGCGCACCCTGACTCAAATGTCCCTCCCTCATTCCCTAAATTCCCCCTCTTCATTCTTTGGTATGGAGATCAAGGCAAACCTCAGAGTCCCCGGAAAAGGGGATTTGGAGGGGGGAGCAGGCGGTAACCGGAGAAGCAGCAACTCTAGCAATCCTCATTGATCAAAAATAAGTCACAGGCATCCCCACACCCCGAACCAAACTAGGGACAATACCCTGGGTAGGACAAAACCCAATTATACCCCGCCGGCCCCCACAGCTGTTTCTGGTGAACACAGACCACTGTGCCATCTGCTTTCCCTTATTTGGGTTGACTTCAACTTTGCACGGTTGTCTCTTGCTTTGCGATCCAGAAGCAGGTTTTCAACCTGTGTGAGGTGGGGAAGCACCCTCAAGGTTCCCTGGTTTGGTGAATTGGTTAAGTGCACAGACTCTAATCTGGGAGAACCGGGTTTGATTCCCCACTCCTCCACGCGCACCTACTGGATGACCTTGGGCAAAGCCATAGTCCTGTCAGAGCTGTCCTTGAAAAAGAGCAGTTTCTGTCAAGATCTCTCTCAGCCCCACCTACCTCCCAGGGTGTCTGTCTGTTGTAGGGAGGAGAAGGGAAAGGAGTTTGTAAGCCGCTCTGAGACACCTTTGGGTACTGAAGGGCAGGGTATAAATCCAATCTCCTCCTCCTCCTGGCACAACTACTGGAATCCCAAACTGGCATCTCCCCAAGGCCCCCCGGGCCAGCCTCCCTGGCAAGAATCCCAGCAACCAGCCCCAGCCAGAAACTGGTCAACCAGGAACTGCCGTCCCACCATCTCCTTTATGTAGAAAACCAACAGACGATGTTTTGCCCCGCATTTCACCCAAGAGCATCGCACTCAGCGCAGCTCACACAGGCACCAAAGGAAGCACAATTCACACCTTCCCTGCCACAGGAAGTGGTGACGGCTACAAGCATGGACGGCTTCAAAAGGGAATTAGATAAGCATATGGAGCAGAGGTCCATCAGTGGCTATGAGCCACAACGTATAGATAGGGGCTCTGGGGCAAGTGATGCTCTGTCTTCTTGGTGCTTGGGGGGGGGGGTCAACAGTGTGTGGGGGGGCTCCTAGTGTCCCGGCCCCACTGCTGGACCTCCTGAGGGCCCCTGGTATTTCTGGCCACTGTGTGACAAAGAGTGTTGGACTGGATGGGCCACTGGCCTGGTCCAACATCGGCTTCTCTTATGTTCTTATGAGGGGATGCTGCAGCTGGCCAGCTGCCCCCGCTCTGTCTCCGATGGCGACCTGGAGAAGGAGGAGGGGGAAGATGGGATCTCAGCCAGAGCAGGACCCGGGGGCAACAGAGGGGGGCTGCCGCCAACAGTGGCTGGGAGAGGGACCTGATGTGCCAAAGGAGACATGGGGGGCAGTGTTCCCTCTAAGCTGAGAGAGTGTGAGCTAGCTCAGTTTTTTAGCCTCTGGTTCACACATTTTGATCTTAGCTCAGGAAGGATGACTCCAGAGCAATGCTCCCTCTAAGCCGTGGAGTCTTGTGAGCAAAAATTCTACTTTTTGAGCTACTGGCATTAAAGCTGTGAGTAAGCAGTTTGGCAGCTGCATAAATCAGTTTGCTCTGGAGCCATCCCTTCCTGAGCGGAGACAGAAATGTGTGCGCCAGAGGCTTAAAAGCGGTGAGCTGGCTCGGACTAGCTCAGCTTAGAGGGAACACTGCGAGTCCAGAGCAAACTAATTTCTGCGGTCGCCAAATCGCTTGCTCACATCTTTCATGCCAGTAGCTCACAAAGTAGAATTTTTGCTCAGAAGACTCCACAGCTTAGAGGGAGCATTGGGGGGCGGGCTGTGCCCTCTTAGAGTAACCCGGGGGGGGGGGACGAGAATTTGGGCAGGTGCAGCTTCTCCGACCCCGGCAGGCCAAGCGGCGCCTGCTGGAGCTGACCTTGGGCGGCACCAGAGCGCCTCCACCGCCCCGCCTCGCCCGAGTCCCCCCCGGTCCCGCGGGGATGCGGAGACCGGCCTACCTCGCGGGGCTGTTGCTTGCTGGGGGCCGAGTCCAGGCCGTGGGGCGCGCCGGGACCGCCCGAAGGCGCTCGAGAGGCCGAGGAGGACACCGACGACCTCCCCCTCCTCCCGCAGCCGCCGCAGCCACCTCCCTCCTTCCCTGCCCCGGCGGCTCCCGGGAGGCATAGATTCAAGGGGAAAGAACGGCACTTCCGCTCTCCGCCGCTGTACCGGAAGTGGCCCTCTAGGGCCGGGGGAGGAGCGGCCCGGAAACGCCGGAGAGGCAGAGACGCCAGTAGAGGCGCGCACAAATAAAAACGTGTCATTCCCCCACTGTCAAAAGCCGAACTCGGCGCGCTTCCTTTAAAAACCTCCGGCCCGCTCCCCTCTTCACGGGACGGCGGCGCGTCCTCCGCTCAAAGCGCTCCGGCCGGAAACTCGGGACCTGCCCGTTTTGGGTTCCGCTTCCTTTCGGTTCCGGCCGGAAAGGCAAGGGGGGACCTGGGGCGAGAAGGGGGGGAGGAGGCGGCGCTTGTGGAGGGGGGGGAGGAAGTTTTCCGTCCCCGCCCCCTCCCTCGCACGTCATCGCCGTCTTCCTCCTTGGCCCCCCCTCCCTGGCGCTTCCTAGTCGGTCGGAACCTTCGCGGAGGGGGGAGGCCTCGCGCGGGCTTTTCATGGTGAGCCTAAATGGTGGGAGGGGGTTTTGTTGGGGAGGGGGCTCAGGGGCACGATCCTCCCTGCTTCCAGGGGAAGGGGGCTTCCATCCCCTCCCTCCACGGCATTCGCCCCCACTTCCGTCCTCCCTGGAGGGGGGGGGATCTTCGCAGCCACCCCCTTTTGGCCCCACCTCTTTTTGATGCGCGGGGGGGGGGTCCCTGTGGGCCAGGAGCGAACCTCGCCGGACTGCCAGCAGGGTCAGGGCAGAGAAAAGGCTGCCAAGCAGAGGGCGACTTGGAGGGGGGGGCAATGCCCCCTCTAAGCTGTGGGGTCCTGTGAGCAAAAATTCTACTTGGTGAGCGACTGGCATTTAAGTGGTGAGCGAGCGATCTGGTGCTGCATGAATTAGTCTGCTCTGGAGCCACCCTTCCTAAGACAAAAATGTGTGAGCCGGAGGCTAAAGAACTGTGAGCTCGCTCACACAAACTCAGCTTAGAGGGAACACTGGCTGCAATGCTCCCTCTAAGCTGTGGAGTCCTGTGAGGAAAGATTCTACTTGGTGAGCAACTGGGCATTACAGTTGTGAGCCGGCGATTTGGCTCCTGCATCCGTTAGTTTGCCATGGAGCCATCCTTCCTGAGCTGAGACAAAAATGTGTGAGCCGGAGGCTAAAGAACTGTGAGCTCGCTCACACAAACTCAGCTTAGAGGGAACACTGGCTGCAATGCTCCCTCTAAGCTGTGGAGTCCTGTGAGGAAAGATTCTACTTGGTGAGCAACTGGGCATTACAGTTGTGAGCCGGCGATTTGGCTCCTGCATCCGTTAGTTTGCCATGGAGCCATCCTTCCTGAGCTGAGACAAAAATGTGTGAGCCGGAGGCTAAAAAACTATGAGCTAGCTCACACTAACTCAGCTTAGAGGGAACACTGGCTGCAATGCTCCCTCTAAGCTGTGGAGTCCTGTGAGGAAAGATTCTACTTGGTGAGCAACTGGGCATTACAGTTGTGAGCCGGCGATTTGGCTCCTGCATCCGTTAGTTTGCCATGGAGCCATCCTTCCTGAGCTGAGACAAAAATGTGTGAGCCGGAGGCTAAAAAACTACGAGCTGGCTCACGCTAACTCGGCTTAGAGGGAACAATAGAGGGGGGGTAATAATTCGCCCTGGAGACAAACTGAGGTGATAAGGATGCCAGCCTCCAGGTGGGACCTGGGGATCCCCCGGAATTACAGCTCATCTCCATACTGCAGAGATCCATTCCCCCGGAGAAAATGGATGCTTTGGAGGGTGGACTCTGTGGCATTGCACCCCACTGAGGTCCCTGTCCTCCATCCCCAAATTGCCAGGAGTTTCCCAACCTGGATCTAGCAACCTTAACCCCCCATCCCCCACCAGTGGCCAGGAGGGACCTAGCAACCCCCCGGGGTGACTGCCCGTTGGCACAGCAAGAGAGGTTGCTGCAGCTGCTGCTTTGGCTGTAAGCGGGAACATTTAGGCCAGGCCCATTAGCGGCATTTGCCTGGTTAAGGGGTAAACTTTTCCCTGGCCCGTTTGCAAATGCACCCCAAAGACAGACAGACAGGTAACCAGAGCTCCCTGCTGCTGCCGATGGATCCATTCCTGCGTGGAATGTTCAGGCCTGCCCGAGTTGCATTATTCATGGATTTCCTCTGGCCAAGCTCAAGGGAGGGTCCCTGCTTTTCAGCTGCAGCCCTTGCATTGTTCTTCGATGCCTGTTGAGCCGGGCTTGTTGCCTGATAAAGGAAGCTCTGCCGAGAGAGCTCTGGCTGGGCATTGGATGCCTCACTGATCTCTCCAGTCCAGGGAGGCACTGGAAAACTTTTTCCGCTGGCGTGTCGGGTTGCTTCATCCTTCGCAGAAAGTGAGCTGCTGCAAAAGCAAGGCGCCTTGGAAACCTGTGCTGTTGTGTCTCGTGAAGAGCTGCAGAACCAAGGCTTTTAAACCATGTTGTGGTCTTCGTTAGACCTGAACTGCCCATGTAGTGTAGTGGTTAGAATGTCAGTCTGCAATCTGGGAGATCTCCCATTCGAATCCCTACTCTGCCATAGAGGCTTGCTAGGTGACCCTGGGCCAGTCACACACACTCAGCCTAACCTACCTCACAGGGTTGTTGTGAGGACGAAATGGAGGCAAGGAGAATTATGTAGACTGCTTTGGATCCCCATTAGAGAGAAAGACAGGCTATAAATGTAGTCAATATGGCGGGCCAGGCCCTTCAAAGAGACTTTTGCCTCTCCAGTTCTGCTCTCCCCCTACAGGAGCACCCACGGGATTAGGGGGGTAACCTTAGGAACCCCCTCATTGGGACTAGTGGGGTCCAGCCAGCCTCCCAGGTGCTCCAGTTTGGTGTAGTGGTTAAGTGCGCAAACTCTAATCTGGGAGAACCGGGTTCGATTCCCCACTCCTCCACTTGCACCTGGCTGGATGACCTTGGGAAGCCGTAGTTCTGATAAGAGCTGTCCTTGAAAAAGAGCAGTTTCTGTCAGAGCTCTCTCAGCCCCACTGACCTCACAGGGTGTCTGTTGTGGGAAGGAGAAGGGAAAGGAGTTTGTAAGCCGCTTTGAGACACCTTTGGGTAGTGAAGGGCGGGGTAGAAATCCAATCTCTTCTTCTTCTTCCATGTGAACACGGCACGCGCCTCACTCTGGAAACTGCCCCAGACTTTTCTGCAATGTCAAGGGGATTCTCGGCAAGCAAGTTAATTTTGACAAGTGTCAGTGACGGCAAAACGTTTGAAAGCAACTGGGCCCGAAGGCTACTTGTGGTCATTCTTTGCTGTGCGCCTTGGGCAGCCCAGGCCACTCGACTCCGTGGTTGGAAATGCATGCCTCCTGTTAGAAGTTAGAAAGGCCGCATTGCATTAGGGATGGTCCATTTGCTGTGAAAATACAGCACGTTTCAAGTGTTCAGATGCTTCACATCTTTTCACTAATCCTTACAAGAGCCCTTTGAGGAGGGCCACTACGATGACCCCCCATGCTGAGGCAGAGAAAGCTCGCCTAAGATCCTCTCATGAATTCTTGGCTGAGCTGGGATTTGAACTGGCAGCTCCTGCTCTTTTGCCTTGCTGCTGTGCTGGTTCATGTCAGTTGTTCTTGGGTCATAGGGGAAGGGTTCCACCTACCAATGCTCCCTCTAAGCTGTGGAGTCTTGTGATCAAAAATTCTACTCTCTGAGCTCCTGGCATTGAAGTTGTGAGCGAGCAATTTGGCTGCTGCATCAATTCGTTTGCTCTGGAGCCAGCCTTCCTGGGCTATGACAAAAAGGTGTGAGCCAGAGGCTAAAAAACTGTGAGCTAGCTCACAGTAACTCAGCTTAGAGGGAACACTGCCTCCTACTTCTCCTAGTTTGCCTGGAGAATGAAGCTATCCCAAAATTCTTAAACTGGGAAACAGACTAGTAGGATAGAGATGAGCCCTGGTTGGCTAGATGGATGCAACTCAGCATCCGTGTGCAGGAAATTGACCAGGGACTGACTGGCACGCCTCCCCACCCTGGCATAAATCACTACCGAATATTGTA